AGGCAGGAGGCCGCGGTGCGGGGCTGCGCTGTCCGGCCTGGCTCCCCCCCAGTGCCGGCGCAGGTGAGTCCCTGCATACCTTCGGGATGAAGCTGAAGAAGCAGGTGACAGTGTGTGGAGCTGCCATCTTCTGCGTGGCCGTCTTCTCCCTCTACTTGATGCTGGACCGGGTACAGCATGACCCTACACGACACCAGAGTGGGGGCAATTTCCCCAGGGTGAGTTTGGAGGGTCTGGGGTGAGTGAGAGGGGTCCTGGGATGGCAAACAGGGACATTCAGCCAGGGAAATTAATGAGAAGCTGGCCCTGGTCTCTGGGCATTAAGGTGCCAGGGCCAAGACTGGCTCCCCCCAGCTGTGGGTGACCTCTTGCCCCTTGCTGTACCCCCAGAGCCAGATCTCGGTGCTACAGAACCGCATCGAGCAGCTGGAGCAGCTGCTGGAGGAGAACCATGAGATCATCAGCCACATTAAGGACTCGGTGCTGGAGCTGACAGCCCATGCAGAGGGGCAGCCGGCATTGCCCCAGCACGCCCTGAATGGCTCCTGGGTGCTCCCCCCTGAGAATCGCCCAAGTTTTCTCTCTGTCTCCCCACAAGACTGCCAGTTTGCTCTAGGGGGCAAAGGACAGAGCCCAGACCTGCAGGTGAGTGTCTGGTGGCTCTGCTAGCATATGAGGAGTCCATACCTGGCATCCATGGAGTCCTAGCTCTACTCTTTCAGGGGCCACAGCACTGTTTCCTACCCACAGATGCTGGCTGTGTACTCCCTGCTGCCCTTTGACAACCAGGACGGTGGTGTCTGGAAGCAGGGCTTCGACATCACCTACGAGCCCAACGAATGGGACACAGAGCCCCTACAGGTGTTTGTGGTGCCGCACTCCCACAATGACCCAGGTGAGAGGCAGGGGCTGGCCCAGCTCCTGCTAGGGAGCAGTGCTGGCAGGGAACCTGGGCCCCCAGTGACCCCCACCTGTGCTGCCAGGCTGGATCAAGACTTTTGACAAGTACTACTACGACCAGACCCAGCACATCCTCAACAGCATGGTGCTGAAGATGCAGGAGGACCCACGCCGGCGCTTCATCTGGTCTGAGATCTCCTTCTTTTCCAAGTGGTGGGACAACATCAGTGCCCAGAAGCGGGCTGCTGTGCGCAGGTAGGGCTGCCCCCCTGGCCCCAGTGCCCCCCTAGCTCCCAAGCAGGCTGAGAGCAGGGCGTGTGTGAGGGAACGGCTCTGGGGACTGGAAGGCTGCCATGGGCCCTGCACTGCTCAGCATGGGGTGCCCCCAGACTGCCAGCAGCCTCCCAGTGCCATCAGATGTCAGAGCCACTGCCTTGTGGAGGGAGAGGTGGGAGAGACACGTCTTGCCCTGGGCCCCTCCCTGTGCTGAGGAACTTGTGTGCAAGGCCCAGGGCACCCATGGAAGGGTGGGAGACCTGGAGAGCAGGATTGTGTGGTGAGACAGGGTCCCCTTGTATGCCCCTTGCCCTGAGAGCATCGGGGATGGAGGACACAGTGGAGGGAGAGTGGGCTGTGGTTGCCATTGGGCTGTGGAGGGATGACTCTCTGTGTGGGGACAGCATGACAAGGGGGGAATGGCAGTGGTGGCTGTGGGGGCTGCATGTAGACTGTAGGTGGCTCAGGGCAGGACTCTGCAATGGACATGTGGCTCACGCAGGGCTCTGGTCATATCTTGGGTGTCCCCCTGGCAGGCTGGTGGGCAATGGGCAGCTGGAGATGGTGACGGGCGGCTGGGTGATGGCTGATGAGGCTAATTCCCACTACTTCGCCATGATTGACCAGCTGATCGAGGGGCACCAGTGGCTGGAGAAGAACATTGGTGAGAGCTGGGCAGATGGTGGCTGGGGGCCTGACAGGACCCTCCTCACGCGAGGTGCTGCTGGCCCAGCATGGGGCTGACAGCTCTCTGTGCCCCCAGGTGTGACGCCACGGTCGGGCTGGGCCGTAGACCCCTTTGGGTACAGCTCCACCATGCCCTACCTGCTGAAGCGCTCCAACCTGACGGCCATGCTCATCCAGCGCGTGCACTATGCCATCAAGAAGCACTTTGCTGCCACCCAGAACCTGGAGTTCATGTGGAGACAGACGTGGGGTGAGGGGCTGCCGGGAGGGGACTGCAGAGGGGGCCCTGTGGGGCAGGTGGCAGCAGAGAATGGCTGCCAGCTGCTTTTCTGTGCACATGAGCCAAGCACTGGGAGGTGATGTCTCTGCCCTGTGGGACAGAGTCAGGGTGACTTTCCACCTGCCCCCAAGTCCAGCAACACACTGGGGGAGACTGCTGTGCCCTCTGAACTCCGAGGTCTGCTTTGTCAGACTGCTGTCTTTGGGCCCCCCTGCTCAGGGACAGGCACGGGAGAGCCCTGGCTGGTGCTCACCTGTCCTTGGTCCCACAGATCCAGACACGAGCACGGACATCCTCTGCCACATGATGCCCTTCTACAGCTATGATGTGCCTCACACCTGTGGCCCAGACCCCAAGATCTGCTGCCAGTTTGACTTCAAGCGCTTGCCTGGGGGCCGGATCAACTGTCCCTGGAAGGTGCCTCCCCGCGCCATCACTGATGCCAACGTGGCAGAGCGGTGAGTGCGGCAGGGGCAGGGGGCACGCCACTCCCAGCCTCGTGGGAGCCTCATGCCCTGGCCCCCACACAGAGCCCAGTTGCTGCTGGACCAGTACCGCAAGAAGTCCAAGCTGTACCGCAGCAAGGTGCTGCTGGTGCCCCTGGGAGATGACTTCCGCTACGACAAGCCGCAGGAGTGGGACGCCCAGTTCCTCAACTACCAGCGCATCTTTGACTTCCTCAACTCTCGGCCTGACCTCCATGTCCAGGTATGTGTGGAGAGCTCTGTGGAGCTGGGGGCAGCAGGAGGCCACGGCAGAGCACAGTTGGAGGGGTGAACAGTCCTGTGAGGGGTGATAAGAGCCCTCACTGCAGGAGCCCCAGCTCAGGGCTGCACATGCTGTCTTGCAGGCACAGTTTGGCACGCTCTCTGACTACTTTGATGCCCTGTACAAGAAAGTGGGCATCGTGCCAGGGATGAGGCCACCTGGGTTCCCAGTTCTGACTGGGGATTTCTTCTCCTATGCGGACCGGGAGGATCACTACTGGACAGGATACTTCACCTCCCGGCCGTTCTACAAGAGCCTGGACCGGGTGCTGGAGGCCCACCTCCGGTGAGGGGCAGTGGGCTGGTCCACGGGGCACAGGAGGCGTGCAGGGGGCACGGGTGAGGGGTAGCCAGGCAGTATCTGGGAGCTCAACAGTCCCTGGTCTGTGCCAGCTGCCAACACACTGGACTGGTACACAGAGTGCTAAACCCTCACCCAGTCCCAGGACAGTGTGTGCCTTTGCCACCCCCCTCCCAGGCCAGCCCCCGTGGTATTGCAGCACCAGGGACACTCAGTGACTCTGTCCCTGTGCAGGGGGGCCGAGATCCTGTACAGCCTGGCACTCGCCCACGCCCGCCGTGCCGGTGCCGATGGCAGGTACCCACTCTCTGACTACGCCCTGCTGACCAACGCCCGCCGCAACCTGGGCCTCTTCCAGCACCATGATGCCATCGCTGGCACTGCCAAGGAGGCTGTGGCCGTGGACTACGGAGTCCGGTGCGTGTGGGGACCAGGGCACCCTCAGAGCCTCTCTCAGAGTGGGGCTGGTGGGCTCAGGGCCGGGAGAACGGCTAGGTGTGGGGATGCTGTGGGGAGGTTCTCCCTCTCCCAGGGAGATGCAGAGGGTGGCTCACTCTGCCTCTGCCTAGGCTGCTCCAATCCCTCACCAACCTCAAGCGCGTCATCATCAATGCTGCGCACTACCTTGTGCTGGGGGACAAGGACACGTACCGCCACGACCCAGCTGCGCCGTTCCTTGGCATGGTGAGCAGCACCAGCCCCTGCCTCCCTGCACTCTGGCACACTGTCCCCATGCCCCCAGAAGCAACTCGGTGCTGCAGAGGCCAGGAAGAGAGCCCCAGATTGTGCCCATGTCCTTGGGCCCAACTGGCAGGGGCATGGGGCACACTTCAGCTCTTTATTACTCCTCCCCAGGATGAGACACGCTCCAGCCAGGACTCTCTCCCAGAGAGGACAGTGGTCAAACTGGGCACCTCGCCTCGGTAAGGCCTCCTGCCTTGCTCTGGGGACTTATGGGGCTGTGGGGAGGCAGTGAGGGAGTACCTGTGAAGCTGTGGGTAGGTGCAGTGGATCTGTAGTTAGTGTGGGGCATGGGACATCGGGAATGCTGTGAGGCTGGGATGCCAGCCCTGTGTTACCCCACACAGGTTCCTGGTGGTGTTCAACCCGCTGGAGCAGGAGCGCCTGAGTGTGGTGCCAGTGCTGGTGGACTCCCCACATGTGCGTGTGCTCTCCGAGGAGGGGCAGCCCCTGCCCTCCCAGCTCAGTGCAGTGTGGAACTCTGCCACTGATGCGGTGCCCAATGTCTACCAGGTATGGGGTGCCCCACACCCACAGCCCATCTGTGCCAGCCTCCCATCCTGCACACTGCCAGGACACAGCGGCAGCCGTGCTCTGTCCCTGCCCCACAACACCAGATCCCACAGCCGCCAAACCTCCGGCTCCCCATGTGTGTCCCTCCTCAGCAGCAGCCCTGCAGTGCTGAGCAGGGTCTTTGCCCCACTGACCCCCAGTCGTTCCTAGAGGCGGGGACTGGCTCAGGTCCCCATGCTGCCTGCAGGTGTCTGTCCTGGCCCGCCTGCCTGCACTGGGGCTGCGTGTGCTGCAGCTGCACAAGGCCTTGGAC